TCGACACCGGTACCCTTAGGAAAGGCATGGCTGACTATATGAACTCCAACTACCGCAGGAATCTCCACATTAGAAAGAGGATTCCTGCAGGGAGTTGTGACCTGTGCAGTCGCCAGTCCCAAAGGTCGTGAGCCTGCCATTCCTGCTAGGTACATCAAGGCCCTACAGGAACTCGGCAGAGACGAATCCATCGTCATTGCTCCGGCTGATAAGGGTGGCGGTGTCGTAATTATCGATAACACTGATTATGTTTCAAAAATGGAAATACTGCTCTCTGATGTTTCTAGTTACAGACAAGCCAAAAGAGGGAATGCAGAGGCAAGATCCCTAGAATTCAACAAAGCAGCAAAGAAGGTCCTGAGAGGTTCTGAGAAAGGAAAGTCCATGCTCCACCTGCTCGAGGAGACGCCACGCATACCGACGATCCATGGAAGCATCAAGACCCACAAGGAAGAAAACCCCGTGAGACCCATCACCAACGGGACCAGGAGTGCTCCACACTGTCTGGCTAAGAAACTCGTCAGTGTAGAAAGCTCGTCAGGTTCGATGTCAAGTCGCTATTCACGTACCAATCGACGGGGCCATCAAAGCTGCAGAACAAGCATTGGCAAGAATGAACGAGGGCGAACTACCACTGCAGTTAGATGATTACATCAAACTCATCCTTCTCTGCGTGGAGTTCGGCCTGTTCGAGTTCAGAGGACGCGAGTATGAACAGATCCAGGGACTTGCAATGGGTTCACTACTTTCAGCAGTCCTTGCCCAGCTGTTCATGGAAACCCCCGAGGTCGACCACTACCGAAGCATTGTGGAAAGGAACGTGGTCTAGCTCGGCTACGTGGACATCCTCGCTGTAGTACCTATCAGGACAAACCTGCCAGATCTCCTCCACAGACTCAATGCAGTGCACCCCTCCATTCAGTTCACCACAGAAGAGAGAAATGAACAGCTTCCTTTCCTGGACTCCTTGATCCACAGAAGACCAGATGGACATTTATTTTCTGTATACAGAAAACCCACCAATAAAGATGATTTCATTCATTATTTTTCTGACCACAGTAAGAGAATCAAAGAAGGTGTGGTCATTTTCTTCCTCCGAGCCCTCAGAATATGGAGCCCTGAGTTCTTTCCAACACCTCCACTACCCACGCTCTATGCTCACCCACCTCCGACGCAAGGCCGAGAAGATCATGAGCAGACTGAGAGAAGGAAGACACACAGAACAAGACTCAGAGAATAATCATCCCCCACTCGAAATTGACTGAAAACCTAGAGGCCCTAGTGGGCTGTACTCTTAAGATAGCTACGTCTTCAGAGAAAAGAGGTCAAACCACAACAGACCCCTCAGCCAGGTGTACAGCATACCCTGTGGGGGTTGTGATAAAGTCTACATAGGCGAGACAGCATGAGAACTGCACGAACAACGAATTAGCCAACATCGCAGTGCTCTCCGACGCCACGACACGAGAAGCGCATTCCTTATTCACATAGACGCCGACGGTCACCTCCCAAAGTGGTCTCAGACCTCCATCATAAAGCACGATAAAGAAAGATGGTAGAAGCGGCGTTCATTCATACAACTAACATCAACACCGCTATGGGGAGCCACGAACTAGCCAAGGTCGTCGCTCACCTGAGTACCGACATGACCTGACCATCCAACATTTGTATAAATACTCCTCTATGTACCTCTTGTCATGTATGCCCTGACGAAGCATTAGCGCAAAGGCCTTCGGCATGTTCATGGGTTTTCTTGTCCTTCGTTTCCTTGTTCCTGTTGCAATCTCTTCATCATGAATTCCACATATTGTCTTCCATGTTATGTTTTTTTTCATCATAGATTGTCGTATTCTTAATGGAATTAGTCCCTAATTTTTTCACTCGCGAGTTATTTCTTTTTGGCGTGTTTTTTCTCAATCTAATTAGATTATGCTAGAATTTAAGCATAGATTCATTATCTCTATCAATCATTTAATATGTGGGTGAAATATAGCGTTTATTTTCTCTAAATTAATTTCTGTTCTAGGCCATGTGGCTAGAGTTATAAAGTATTGCCATTGAAAAATACATTCATATCATTTGTATTTCCATTTTAATTCAGTTATGTCTCAACATTAGAGATTAATTATATCAGCCACTATGATTTCATATTGTTCGTGATTTTCGCTTTCATAAGTCATCACTACATGCGAAATTACCTTGGCCATCCTAACAATTTTCTATTTCTTTCCTTTTTTACGATAATGGTTAGTATGCTGCCTTGATTTTAAAACCTTTTCTTCATTATTCAATCTTAATTACAAACCTCATTTCACCATTATTACATGGTCCTTGGTGACGACCCCCGAGCTGGGCTATGGACATGTAATTAGTATCTTTTCCTGCATGTGCCGAGCTGCACAATTATCACCAGAGCGATCTAGCGCCGCGCCGCACGCTTTCTTATACAACTATATGTGAGATTATTACTGGTATTTCCCAACAAGATGGGATGCCCAATTTGCGTTCTGCGTATGAGGTTGTTTGATGATACCCTTTTCTACGGGTCCGTCATCACTTTTCCTCAGGGAATTTATTGTAAGTATATATTTACAACCACAAGGGTTCTCTTTTGGCTGTCAGTTGTCCAAGGGAAGCTGACCCACCATGCTTGCATCATGCATTGCTCTGCAAGCCTTAGTCTGTTCTGTAACAGACCTCTCACCATTTCATTCATTTTGCGTACCATTTTTACGATTTCGCATAGTAGTTGATTAATGTTGCAATTACCGTAAGGTTATTGTTATTAGTGTGAATCTTCTTTTCGTGCAGTCAGGTTGGTAATTATTTTCATTGAGTGCAACTCACATACCTGACCCTAACGCCCATCCTCACCCATACCTCTTTTACCCCCACCCCACCCCTTCCTTCCCCACTCCTCTTACCCTTTGCTTAATTATTCCAACTCCCACGCCATTCTTTCTGTTTACTTTCGCTCTTACTTTAACAAACTACTAATGACTAACAAAACATCAGAGTTCTATTTTCTACTCATGTGCTATATTCTGACGCTCATTTCATACTCTTACCCATTCACTTACTAAACTCGTCTACTCAGTGCTCACGCAGCCACATACGCACGTCGTCTCTCCTTGTACAAACCACGTTAACTGCACAAGAATTACATGCGTACTGTTTCCGAGAAGATAATCGACTTGCGCTAATCATGTATTCTTGCCTAGCATTAAGTTTTATCGTGCATATGTTGTCTTGAGAAAGCATATTTGATGTAATGAGTCCCGAAACTAAGAGGACTGCATTACTTAATTTCTTTATCGCTTTGCCTCGAATAGCTGTTGATGACATGTGATAGACAATTTCAATGAAATGAGATAGAACATTTACTTACTATTAGTCAGACGTATACTGTATGCACTATTGCACTGCACACTGCTGAACACTGGCTGTGACAACTTTTGCTTCCTTGTAGTTCTGCACAATGCTTATCTCTTGTAGATTTTCACCTGCTATCTGAGGTAATTGCAACTCAAGCAAGTGCTCACGGACTACTGCAATTGTCTCCCTAAGCATGCTCCTCTGTCTATCCTTGGACAGTGAATTAAAAAAAATAGTGAAAAATCATGCAAATAATTGAATTAA